GCAATTTCCCCGAGACCGTGAAGTGCTGAGGTTCCAAAGCAGTTTTCGGTCTCACTGGACTTGAGTCAATTCGCGGTCGTAAGACCATGAACTCAAGCCCCAGACCGTGAAGTGACTTAGTGAAACAGTGCGATTCTGCCTGAGATCACGGTCCCTGTCTTGAGTCCACGGCCGTGAACTGGACCCTGATTTGAGCCTGACCTGGGTATAAAAGAGGAAGTGAGCTTTTTCTAGGGTTTAGTTTTCAGAATAAAGGAGGGTTTCTAGTAAGAGATTAGGGTTTCCTCTTACTATTCTAGAGAGAGAAAGTGTCATTTAAAGGAGGAAGAAGGAGATTGGGCTTGCCTTTAGCTAGAGGAGTGGAGATTCTTACCTCTCAAGGGAGATTCAAGCAAGGAGGAAGGAAGATTGTCATCTCTTCATGGTTATTTCTCTCCTTTTTCTTGTTTTCTTTTGCCTAGCTATGGAATGGCCTACCTATTCACTTGGGTGTTGTGAACCCTAGCTTGAAATATGTGATAGATTGTATTAATTGAATGCTTTGCGTGTAGCACTGTGTTCCAACTTGGTCAGACCATGGCTATCAAACTCCGTCCTGAATGGCGCATCCTCAACTAGCTGTTGGGAAAGTCCTACGCACCTAGTAGGGGCTCAGCAAGTCACCTCCAGCTCCGGACTCTGTCCTTCCTACATTCGATGAGCCAGGAGGAAGACAATCTTCACTTGGCTTCTATCATTGCCAGGACGATCGCCAAAGCTACTGACTGAGGCCTGTGATCAGTGCTCTAGCTCGGTACTACAAGATCGACCTCACTGACTTCACTATTGTTCAGGCACCTACACCCTTCAGCAGAGAGATTCTCCGATGCCAGCTCTTGCTCCAACACAACGGGGATGTGATGTGGATCAAGGGGCTTCCTCGACCTTCCCCTCGTGCCCCTGCCCTAGATGCTTCCATAGGTGAGTAATACCAGAGCTCGACATGGACCCCGTCGTCCAGTTCGCCGTGCTCAGGCGCCAACAAGTATGTCTGTAGTCGCCCCCAAGGCGCACAGCAGCTCTTTCGCCGGTCCCAATGTTGGCCCCTCCCTCTCGATTGCCGATCAGATAGCAACCATTGCTCGTCCGAACGAACATATTCTTATAGGGCAGGTTGACCTTCATCTCCGCCTCGACTGTGAGCGGGATCGTCGCCGCCGCATCATTTCGGGCCAGCACTACATGATGCACTTCTTTGGCATGAACTCTGCTAATGTGCAGTAGCCCTGGGAGGCCTCCCCGGGGGCATGAGAATAACTACCCACCTTCTACTGGCGATGGAGGCGATGACTACTAGGTTGGGCCCGACTGATCCCCCATGGGATGCTGGGTTATGTATTTTTCTTTCTTTCTTTCTTTCTAGATTCAGACTCTTTTGTAGGTTTTTCTTTTTCTTTTGTTTCTCTTCTGGATTGTGCACATGGAACTATGGTCTATTTTCTCTATCACCCAGTGTTTTTTGATGACTCTAGCTTTGTGTCTTTGGACTGGTCCCCTTCCAGTCTCATGTTCCTGATTGGTCCACTCTCCAGTCGCCGCCTTCGGTCATCCTTTCCAAGTAACATCGTTCCCCCTCCTTCTACTCCATTGAGGGCAATGTTGATCTTAAGTGTGGGGGTGCTTTGTGCTTATCGAAATTTTTTGTGTGCTTGGAGCCTAGTCCACTATCCCAAATCTCGAGATTTGAGGGCTCCAAGCACTGATGTTTGCATGATCATATTGGATCTGTGGTTTTATATGGTGAATCGATTGGTTGTTAGAATTGATGCATGATAACTCGCTTGTGACTAAGACAACCTATAATGATGACTGAGATGTGCAGTAGAGTTGTGTAGGGGTTTAGTTTTTCAATTGTTTGCTTACCAACTGTGATTAGGATTGATCACTCATTTGTTTAAAGTCGTTTATGCATGTAGTTCAGGGAATCAGAATGAGAGATAGAGAATATAGGTAGCCATGTGAGATTTGAGCCTGCTCGTTTCTTTCTTTTGCGATAGATCCCTCTTCAATGATGTGTAGCATTCACGTTGCCACTAATTAGGATGATGGAGGCTTAAGATTAACCCAAGACCAAATTGACTGTCTTGGTGTGTCATATCCCCTTGCAGCCCCTTTGGGTTGTGTAACCTTCTTTCTTTGTGTCTACAATGAAAAATCACCATTTTGCATCTCTTTGAGGTTCCATAAAGTGGTTTTTTGTATGTTTCTGCTGGAAATGAAGTGAGGGTTGGAGGCAGTTCTTAAAATTTGGGCATGTGCTTGCAAGGATAAAAAGAATGTGACAAAAGTGGTGGTTCTTTAAAGAAAAAAAATAATAAATAGAAAACAGAAAGCCACCATAAAAATCTGAATCATGCTCATTAGATAGTGTTTCTTAGCAGCTTGGCTTGAAAATACTAACATGTTGTAACCACCTTCACTGTTGTGCTCTGAAGAACCTGATTAATGCAGAATAGCAGAGAGAAAAGTAAATGGTTTGAATGAATGTTGTTGTGTTGGTTTGGAATTGTGGAATCTTGTGTCATGAATTCTTCCATCACCTAAAAGGCATTTTCCCCATGTCCAAGACCCTAGCCAGTCATTTGAACTCGTGTTTAAGATCTCCGGACAATTAGTGAGACACCTGATATGTGAAATCTAGCATTTAGAGGTTGTCGTCATGGTGAAGAGACGTTAGGAATTGAGAGTACGAGTATGCACATATCTTGCATCAAATTTTTTTCCTGACCCCACTGGTCGAGAATGAGTGATTCAATTTTCATATTATATACCCCGGTGAGGACCTAGATTGTTCAGTCTTGATTCTGATGTCTTGAATTTTATGCATGAGGTTACTATTTTGAGTGAGTGGTTGAATCAAGTTTATATTGGTCGGTCGGTGAACAGAAAGGAGAATCTTCCTTTACCCGATTTTGCTACACTCGAATGTCATTTGTGGTGGTTGTCTAGGTTGTTGTTGTTCATGTGAAGATATCTAAAAGCTAGTACGATTAATGTGTTTTGTACCTGTGTGATATGTCCCCAAGTTTGCATGATTAAAACATTTTGAGCTTACCTTGTATCTGACTTGGTTTGCTTGGGACAAGCAAATGGTTAAGTGTGGGGGAATTTGATATCGTCGTATTTACACATGTTTTCACCCTTGTTTCTTAACCATTTTGGCTCGACTTGGTGGATCCTTGGCCTATTTTGCTCTAGTTTGTGCTATTTTGTCACATTTCAGGTCCTAGCATGTAGAAGAAGGCTTAGTCGCAAGTTTTGGGTCGTTTGGAGATCATTTGACGGTTCTGGAGATAGAACATTGTCATCCCCTGCCTCAAGCACGACTGTGCTTCCCATGATGGACGGTGTGTTTATTTTGTCGAGTGTGGTGATGGTTCAGATGCAAAATATGGGCACGATTTCCTAAAGCACAACCGTGAACCACCTGCCCATGCTTTGAATGATAAGGCAGGCTCTTGAAGAATGCTTAAGGAAAGAAAAACACAGACAGTCAAAGACCAAAGCACTGCTGGTGCTTCTTAAAATATTGCCGGTGTTTTACCCAGACGCGACCGTAGATTTTCTCATCCCAACTTAAGTAAAATGCGTGATCTGGTCAAAACACGTGTCGCAACCGCCCCTCGAAATCGAGGGACCCATCGCTTCACGCTCGGAATCGCCATCGACCTTAGTTTTAGTGGGTCGAATACTATTTGGGCCGGTCTCGACCTTAGGGTCAAAACTGGGATTTGGTGTGCGAATTAGGAGATCTTGAGTTTGGGAGTACGGTTACGTGGGGGAAAGTGTATTCACACCCCACAACGCTCAAAAATTGATACTACTCAAATCGATAAGTTTTAAAGGGTTGAGTGCATTCTTATTTGGCTTTATTATGTATTTAGTTATGAGATTCGATGAAGTAGGTGTTTATTTATTATGATTCGGTCATACGTCCATTGACGTAAATCTCGAAGGTAAAGAAAGAGTTAATTTTGATTAGTTGGACTCAAACCTATTGGTTGCCTACGTACCCGAGTAGTCAGGATCAAAGTCCACGTATTTCGATGTAATTTTGAGTTTTAAATGTTGAGTCTCACACATTAGTAATGTGGAGAAAATTTGTTAGTTGGACTCGAACCTATTGGTTGCCTACGTACCCGAGTAGTTGGGATCAAAGTCCACGTAGTTCGTTTAAATTGATAGGTTTTAAAATGTTGAGTCTCACACATGGAAATGCGTAGAAAATTTGTTAGTTGGGCTCGAACCTATTGGTTGCCTACGCACCCGAGTAGTTGGGATCAAAGTCCACGTAGTTCGGTTAAATTGAGAGATTTTATAGAAAGGAACCCAAAACGCTCTATCGACTCATTTTACGTTTTGATATGGACCCGCCGGGGAATGAATATATTTTGATTTTTTTTCCTGTGTTTGATTAGTTTTATTTTCAATTTTCTTAGCTCTGTCCAAGAAATGGAGAAAATGAAGAGGTTTCTGGATCTTGGGGAGAGGAGAAACAACCGCTAACAGAGACAGTGAGGTTTCGCCGGTGGTGGGAGGAGACGGAGAACAGGGTTAACAATGGCTGGCAGGCGGTAGGCGGACCAGCGACCGACGGTGGCGGAGGTAAGATCATTTCTTTTGCATTTTAACGTTTCACATTTGGGGTTTATATGGGATTTTCGAATCAGATTGTTGTTTTTGTGCTTAGGGTTTCGGTTTGGATTATGGATTCCGGATCACGGGAAGACGGAAGAATGGAGGAGGCGAGCCGCTGGCTTTGCCGTTAGCGTAGCGATCTCCACTGATGGCGGGATGGGGTCACAAATCTTACTTTTGTTGATTTTCTGGTTTTTGTTTAGCTTTGGATTATGATGTTCATTTTTGTTTTGCCCTGTTTCTGGTTTTGGATCTTGGACATGAAAGAGGGAGGAGGAGGAGGGGCGTCGGAGACGGCGAAAGCCGGTGACGACCGTAGGCCTCCGGTGCTGACGTCAGCAGGGGAGGAACGTTACTAAGTTATCGATTTTTGAAGTTTTTGTTCCTAGTTTTTATTTATTTGTATGGTGATTTGTTTGTTGTTTCAAATGTTACTTTGTTTATTTATTTGGTTGTGATAATTGTGAAACCTCAAAAGGCTGTTTGTAGTTAAAGAAAAAGGGATGCACATGTATGATTCAATTCACTAAAACAAATTGCTAGTGAAGGTAAGAAAGAAGCTAAAAATCCTTGAAGTAACCACTACTACTTATGGTCTGCTAGGTTAGAAAAGAAGCTTTACTGTTATGACTATCTTAAAAAGACAGTGGATTTGTGAATCTGAAATTTATATTGTTTAGATTTCAGAAATGGTGTGTATTTAAGGTGGTTTGGATTGGATAACTTGTGGGTTTGGTTCGGTAAAAGTGTGTTCATAAATGGGTTTTGGGACTTTGAGTTTTGGCTGTGACTTGTATGAACTTTGAGTAATATGATATAATGAAATGGATGATGTTTATGATGCTTATATTAAAACCTCATAATGTAGATGTTTGTTAAAGTTCCTAAATTGGTTAAACGCAAGGAAATTAGAGAATAGAGAACCTTGCATTTTAAAATGACTAAACACTGCTATTGTTTGTGATTCGGTGTTATTAATATGATGAGTTTGAATCTGAAAAGTCATGTGACTATGGATCATGGTTGCACATTTTGTGGGTGTTGATGGTGGGTTTGAATTTGGAAGTTTGTAAGTCTATGGTAATTGAATCTGAAATCTACTTAGATGATTAGGAAAAAGATGGGTTTGGTTATCTGGAGTTAGAGGGGTGCCAAAGGAAAGGTATTTTAAAATACTTTCTTGAATTCTAATCAGTTTGTATATGTTTTCTGCTAAAGGATTATGCTTGGTGTGTGGATTGAATTAAATGAAGCTTTGAAGTAATGTAGAAATGAAACCTGTGATGATAAATGATTGGCGTTTAAGACTACCAACCTCATCTTTGTGGCTTGGTGATGATTCTTCTCATTCTTTGACCGAATTTCTTGTGGATTTCTTGTTGCCTTTTTGTTACTCCTTTTTGTCCTTTATGGTTTCGTTGTTGCTGTGTGTCGGCTAAGAAGAAAAATAGAAGTGGAAAGAAGTTTCTTTTGTTTGTCTTTGTTTGGTGTCTACTCTGGTGTGTGTTTTGGAAGGGAAGGAGTTTGGGAATGATCAAGAGATGAAGAAGAAGAAAAAGAGAGGGAGTCTGCTCTTGGTCTAAGAAAGATGGGATGCAAGGAAGAACTCTGCTTTTTTTTTCTCTCTCTCTCTCTCTTCGTCCTCCCTTTACAGAGGATCATATGAGTTTTTATTGGGGGAAAACGACTTATTTCCCAAGTTTACAATAGTGCCGGTTCTGGGTTGGACCGTCTGAGTTGGGCCAGACCGATATGAGTTTGGTCAGACCTAATTTATAACCGGTTTGGGTTTGTTGACTGGTTTGATTGAGGGTTGACTTTGACTTTAATTGGGCTTGGTTTGTCAACCGGATCTGATCAATTGACCTGACCTTTTTCTTTTGTGTGTTTTTTTTAATTGTAATTGCGTTTTAGTTATTGTAAATTGTAATTATTGTAATTGTGATTCATTTTAGTAAAATATTAATACTTGTGCTTGATTCATTTTTTGCTCGAAATCAAAGCCGCGTTCTCACAAGACCACTAGTCCTAAAGCTAAATCCACCGGTAGCTAAATTGAGTGGCTGTTAATTTGTGTGATCCAAGCATGTCATCACTTTCAAATTGTACCAGCTAAGATTTGCTATTGCTAATCTCATTGATAAGAATTGTACAAAATGAGATTTGCTATTGTTAATCTCATTAAGTTATGAAAAAATATGACGTGTTCCAACCACTATAAATACGTTTTATATGTTTTTGCTATAAGGTAATTTATGATTCACTATTGTAAATCTTAAACAAAAATTAAATTTTGTTTTATTGAATACTTTAACTCAGACAAAAAGTGTTGTCTACAGTTGCCCCCTTTGTATATCTCTTAGTATATAAGAGGTATACAAAGTTATCATAGCACACCATTTTGGCCAGCTTACTAGTAGAGTTGTGATTGTTTAGAGTTTGGTCTACTGACCAACTCACCTAGAGCATTATGAACATTGAGGTCATTCACCAAAATAGGGTGCTGATTAGTTTCCTTCGTACTGTAGTTGTCCTTTGTGGTGTAGCCGTCTTTCGCAGTATAGCCGTGTCATGTGTACTAGCTCCCTAGCAGTGTAGCCGAGATGTAGGTGCTAATTAGATTCTCGCAATGTAAATTTCCAATGGGTCCTAATTAGCTCCCTCACAGTGTAGCCTTCTTGTGGGTACTAATTGGTTTTCCTCGCAGTTTAGCCTTCTTCGTAGTGTAGCCTTCTTATGGGTCCTGATTAGCTCCCTCGCAGTGTAGCCTTCTTGTGGGTACTAATTGGTTTCCCTCGCAGTGTAGCCTTCTTATGGGTCCTGATTAACTCCCTGTCAGTGTAGCCTTCTTGTGGGTATTAATTGATTTCCCTCGCAATGTAGCTTTCTTCGCAGTGTAGCCATCCTTCGCAGAGTAGCCTTCCAGTGGGTCATGATTAGATCCCTCGCAATGTAGCCGACTTGTGGGTTCTACTTGGTTTCCCTCGCAGTGTAGCCTTCTTCGCAGTGTAGCCTTCTTATGGGTCTTGATTAGCTCCCTCGCAGTGTAGCCATCTTACGGGTCCTGATTAACTCCCTAGCAGTGTAGCCTTCTTGTGGGTGCTAATTGGTTTCCCTCACAATGTAGCCTTCTTCGTAGTGTAGCCTTCTTGTGTTTGAGGATATGCATAGTTTTGTTTAAAACCTTAATCATAGGTGACATGGAGTTGTATGTTTGATAGGAAATGTTAAAGCAGCCAATTGAGAAATTCTAGACGAAATTTAGATAGGCTTCGAACTTGAACTTCTAAAGTTTGTACGTGAGGTCACATTGATGGATAATTACAAAATGTTGTATGATTATATGATATGATGCAATGTCATGATGAGATATGTTGATGAAAATGTACTTCCACTATAAGTGAAGTTTGAAAATGATTGATGTTTGATTTGTAGTTAATTTCTTGAGATTAGTCATCTAATGAAAATGTCATATGATTAGTATGATGTGCGTTCAAACAGAATGATGGTATGATGAGTTATATGATGATGTATTGAAGGTTGCGACATAAAAGTATGATCGCTCGTCGCGGTTTTGATATAATGTTTGGCAATGGGTTTTCTTTAGACCGATCATCCACCAGGAGCTGCATCATAACCCTTTTAGTAAACTTGACCCTTAACTGCGCTCGAGCTGGAGTAGCATGGCTTTTGCTAGTGGGTACTTCCTTCATTCTCCACCATGGACACTGGTGCTTGAGTGGTTGATGTGTTCGTCATATGATCTCCTTATTCATGAGATGTAGATCGGTTTATAGGAAGCTTTTTGTAGCATGGTGGCTTCGGGATAATGTGCTCTTTTACTTTGATTGATTTTCTTGCTATGAAAACGTGTCATGCTTAGCTAGGAAGAACATGTCATCTCGGATATTGTCTTGTTAATGTCGGTTTTCTAGACATGACTTCACCGAGAGGTATGAGGTACAAAATATTTTGTTGAATGATATTTTGATTGACTGGTTAGGTAGCTTGAACGGAATGATTCAAGATCTCTGAGATTCCCCCATTCACTCATGATTTGAGGGGCTTGGAGAACCACTTCATGGGTATTTGAACTTCCTTCTCTTCTAGGTTGCACCATTTTGCCCCCTGAGAAGGTGTTATTTGCTTTCCCCTATTTGAAACAAAGCGTGACTTTTACCAATCTTGACTTAAGACGAATTCAATCAATGTTTGAAAAAAACATTTCATTTGGGAAAGTATGATGAGAACCTTATTTTCGAAATCAACGTCTTACTTGAGGGAAGTGTGTGCAATATGAGAAAAATGATTTCTTGTGTGGTTATTGTCACCTTGTTTAAAATGTGTTCTTTTTAGAAGTTAAGCCATGAGAATATTCATAAGCCCTCACTTTTGTTCTCTCTCACGCTTTCGCTCTCACTCATTCCGATGGGTGCTTTGAGCTTATGACATTTCAGCTACTATTAAGATTCTTGTCACCATGTTGATGGACGAAATGCGTTCGAGGTATATACTGATCACGGAGGGTTAGGGTGAACTCTGTATGGTCCAGCGGCGAAAGTTCTTGATCTCTCCTGAAAGGTGGCTCTTGCTTGATATACTCCTATTGTAAGAGTTCTAATAGTATGGAAATTATGCTTGTCGCAAATGAGAGGTGGGTAAAGGAAGATCCTATGATATGACCTTAGTCATAGGAAGTTTCATATTGAGGGTTTTTGCCTTGCCCCAAGGTATGAGTCTGGTTGGTAGATAATAGGGATAATCTTTTCTTGTCGTGAGAAGTTCCTTCTGGAGGGATATTTGGCTTGCCCCAAAGAATGAGACTGGTTGATGGATAGGCGAGATCATCTCTTCGAGAAAAGTCCATTGTTGAGGGGTTTTTGGCTTGCCCCCAAAGTATAAGACTGATTTATGGGTAAAATAAATCTTTGTTGTGGAGGTCTCATTTTGCTCGAGAATTGTGGCTCGTATTGGGCATCTTTGCGGGTATATTTTGGCTTAGGTTGCCCCCTTGTCTTGAAATTTTGATTCTGAGGGGTAAGCTCGACTAGGTACTTTGAGTAGAAATTTGATCCTGGAAATCTTATCACTTGTCGGGTCCTTTTTGACCTTGAAAGGATGGATCATGGATGTATTGGTACGATACAAGCTTCGACTTCTCAATGGTAATCAAAACAATAAATGTGGAAGACCCTTGTGTAGCGCAAGCATGGATGTTGAAGTCTTATTATCATGGTGGGTTTTGTTTATCTTGAAAGCGAGATTTCAAGTGATGGATAATGAGGATGATCATGTGATGGATTTTAGATGAGACATCAATTCTTTTCTTGGGATCCCCATTTTATCCGAGTTTACTTTTGTCATTTCTTCACGCTTGGCATACGAATACCCTTCATTTGGATAGGTGATTAATTTGATGACTAGCCTCGAATGAGTGTGTATCGGTTGATTAAGACTTGAGAGAATGACT